ATACTTTCGAAAATTCTCAGACCCCCACAAAAATTTATTTAGGGGCGACATATTATAAGCTTAATAAATCTCTAAGATTTTGGTTCTCACACTAAATACCAGCATCAATTTAAGAATTATACTAAAACTACCCACTAGAGCCTTTATATGATGTTATTTCCTTCACGTAAAAACATTGCTTCGGTGCGTGTTAACACGAAATGGTTCTGCAAGTGGTGTTCATATTATTAATTGCAGATTGAGCGGATAGAGTCTATTACACATGGTTTCTCATTCACAGTATTTAGATTCCTTCCACATCACAAATACGGCTGACGATTTATTTCTGGTATTCCAGGGTTTAGTTCATTTCTGGTATATTCTAACATTCCACAGACAAATTGCTCAAAACAAATTGCATGTTTATGTTTCAATATTCGCTTCCCGCGCGCCGTACAAACAACAGGTTAGACAATGTTCTTGTGCAATATCCCACCGCATTCCGAACTTTCTTTGCTGTAGAATTACTTAATAGACAAGTATTAGTCAGCTACTTGTTATTATCATACAACGATAACCTATTAAGAAGAAAAAGAAAGAATCGTACCTTGAATCCGTCAAAGCCATTTCTTCTGAAACGTTACAGCCAAAGACAACTTGGGAACGAGGCTGTTGTAACTTTACGCAGGAAAAGTTAACGTTGTACCCAGGGCCCCAGGCTAAGGCTGATTTCCAATTTTTTTTTGACGTTGCTTTATTGATGATGACGTCACCTTTATTCTTATGTTTTCAATGTGTATTATTTTACAATTAGTGTCACGCAAATAACAGTCTGCAGTCTGCAGTCTGCAAATGTCATACACCGCTGAAATACATAATGATGTACGTCAAACAATTTTTTGTTACTGTAAAACAGGCTCCACAAGTGGGCAAGATGAGACAATATTAGACTGCTCAAGATTTTCTATTTTGTTTGGCAATAAAAGTAGATTTGGTAATAAAATGAATCCTTTATTGACTGATGAATTAGTTTGTTGAAAATGGCTGAAAAATGGCATAGTTCTTTTTTTGGCATTTTTATCAACCTAGGGTAATCAAGACAACTGTGGGAAAAAAAATTAGAGAAAAAAAAAGAACATGAAGAACAAATAACTTACTGGGCAAATATCCAACCAACCTCGCAATGGGGAATAAGGCATATTTTTAGTTTTTTATCGGTGCATCCATAATGCAAACAGGAATATTTAGCTAAATCGAGAATGGGTTTCTTTTGAACACTGATGCAACTTGTAAATTTTGCAAACTACAACAAGAGAAACTAACCTTTACATTTTCCTTTGTTTGAGGAGCAATTGAAAAATTCGTTGAATTGATCAACTAGGGACACAATGCTAGAGGTGGTGGCTATAAACAGTCCTTCTGGAACCTCAACACTAAAACAACAGGTCAGAACAATAACATTTTAAACTCAGAAGTAGTCAGTTCTAACAGAAAGGGGCAAATACCAACAGTCAATAAGTATATGATAATGACAAGTGCAATCTTATGGGCCTACCTCGGTGTAAAAACCTGTGAAGTGTTTCTTTGTTTTCTAGCTATTATTTTGTTTTACATCACTTGTGAGTTTCAAGGATTTTACACCGAGGATGAATCTTCTCGGGAACATGGAAAAGTAAAATTGTTCTCCTCGAGCGTGAAACTAACAACAACAAAAAATGTAACAACAAATCAATAAATCGTGAAAAAAAAATCCCTTTTAACGGCTTGCTGTTGGAGCCTCTTTTGTAAAAACTTACCATTTCTTCTTGCTTTCCGTCACAATCATTTTTTCTGGTGGTTCATATAGTCAGAGTCATCAAAGTCAGAATCCTCTTCATGATGAGCTGGCACATTGTCAGTCACATTTGCTTCGAGTGGAGATTCATTAGTTTCCAAGACAAAGCTCTCCTCAGTTCCTTTTTCTCTCAACTGTTTCTCTACATCTCTACTGCTTTTAATGGTCTTTCCACTCGGATTTACGTATCAAAATAAAACCTTGTCTCCAGATGAAGATTGCCTTTCACTTATCGTCCATCCAGCTTCCCTCAACTTGTCAAAGTCAAGGCCAATCCTTGATTTAACTCCCGAACCCTTGGCTTCATTACCACTTACTGCTATTCCTTTCGGTTGTTTGCACTTTTTCGTCTGAGGCATCAAAATTTTTTTTACTTTTTTGCATGACCTTGCATTTGAATATATACTTCAATCACTCGCTCACTCGGTCACTCGCTTTAGTTCGATCTCTGTGGTATGTTTGTCACAGGCTGTCAACAGGATTGTTGAGGTGTTGTTGCTATGCAGTGCCGTCATAGCTTGCCCTGATTGGTTTCATGGGAAAAATTGCACCCTGTAAAAGGTAAAAAGGGCCCACGATAGGGCCATTTTTTTTATTAGCCGCTGTAAGCAATAATTGTAGGCATCAAAAACATGGCTGCCACTGAAAAGAAGCTTATGTTGGCATTCAAGACGATTTTTGGGGAGTTTGAGCTTGATTTCACGAGAAAAATTGCCTGTTTTATCAGAGGTGGGAGCCTGTTCAGTCTAATAACTTCTCCTGTGTTTATCGTAAGCACTTGAAACTTGGCAGAGGCAAACCACATAGGTTACAGAAGATTTTTACGGGAGTACATCAAAAGCCTTTGAAAATGCTTCTTGCAGTGATCTCAAATATTTCATAGAAATGCAAAATTCTTTTAAGAGAGATTTTTTTTCCAACTGCTTTTTCCGTGACGTACTCCCGTACGATTATTGTTTTTAACTGTATCCATCAGTTGCCAGAAGCTGTTGGAAGTGGAATAAATTCTCTGGAGTGTACTTTCAAACTAGTAAGATTTACGGTTTTGACCACGCCCATCAAAATATCAAAGTTCATGCACTCCTGTCATTTTTTGGACTGAGCATAATTTTGGATGAAGCTGCATGGAATAAAGTTTTACATGTGAAAGTTTGATGAATTCTGACAGATTATTACATTAGATTTGATGCGGGTAGATATAGGGGAAAATTCACAAAATAGCCCCCAGGAATACCTTAATACTGATAACATAGTAAGAAAACTGACATATTATACAAGCTACTATCATCTTCTTGTGATAACTGAGGATGATGCTAATAATGAATACTTTTTAGCAGAAAGATCCTTTCGAGGAGTAAGGGATTGTTAAGAATGATGATTATAATATGGTGGTGATGATACTTATGAGAATCAAATCCAGTTATAGAATCATTCTTCAGTCATGTTGGCCGTTATTGGCATGCTATTTACTTGACTGTAGTGCTAATTGGTGTGTATGTGTCAATCAAATTTAATTATTTTGATTCTATGCTAGAGTACTTAAAGCTGCTACAAACTGTTACTTTTCAAAACTTGCCTGTTCTCTTGGAATCTTGTAAATTTTGATGCACTCTACAAGCAAATCCACAATCAGCGGTTCACCCAACTCTGAAGCATGAGGAGAGGCAACACTGTATTCTATCTGGTAGTCTTTGGTGCCAAAGGGTAGATAACTTCCTTAAAAAGGAATAGTGCCAAGCTTGGATCCATTCCTTCAACTTCTGCCAGTTCCAAAAGCTGAATTGGAGGTATAAGGTTAATTTTTTTCATGATCTCCTCTCAGTTAACTGACTTCAAAGAAGAGACAGGGATATCAATGTTACAATAGAAGACCAAATGAAGCTCTTAAAAGGAAAAATAAATATTGTACAATAAACATTTTTGCGACTCGCTGTAATTAAATGAGAATGATCCATTCAAGTTGTTTTTATGCCATTCTGAATAAAGAATTCTTAAAGAAATTCAGGGTTGTTCAATGAGAGCTCTGAATTAAATTTTATCCCTCATACAGTTGTTACATATGAACGATTTCATATATATATATATATATATATATGTAATGCATTGTAAACTTTCTTATAAAAGTCTCAAATGATGTGCGTGTGTTTTTTTCAAATATAATTAAGTTAGATATTACTTTTTGCAGAATAACATATTTTGGTACAATTTTTGAGAGTTTCAATAGGTTCATCTTTGATAAATATATATTACTTAAATACCAATTGCTGCATGTATTAAATCTTCCACCAAACAACTAATGATTGGGTCTAAGTCTCAGGTGCTGTTGCAATTGCTACTTTCGAAATATACGGCTAAAAATTCTCAGGTTACCTAATTTTAATTTCCTCTTTTAGCCTGTGCTAACAAAATTGAACTGTTTTTGTTTGCCAAAAGTTGATCACGTGATCAAGCCATGCAAAGGGCCTATTATGTTGCAAATAAAAGTAATAATAATAATAATAAAGTTGACTCTCACTTAACGGACATCTGGTGTTGATCCCTTCCGTTTTTCAGTCATTTTACTGTAACTATACTCTCTGTAAGACGGACGCCTCTCTGAGATCGACAACGGACACTAGTAGACTTTGTTTAAAACTCTGATTGTAACACTTAATGTAGTTTATTACTACTTGCTCACAGCCTTTAGTTTAGCATGATAAGATATCTTTGAGCTCACAGCCTCCAAGGTGACCTCCTTTTGGTTAATCTCCTCTTGAAAGGCAGTCCACAATACAACTTCCATCTCAGCCGTCCACGTTACTTCTGAGGTCTTATACTGACACTCCTCCTCCTCCATTTGTATGAGATCTTTCATTGTGTACTTTTGATATGGCTGACCTTAGCAATGTTATTGAACTGGGATCGCCATCAATTTTTAACGTTTTTTCTATAAGGACTTCATTGCCTTGCTTATTTGGCTTGAAGCTAGAGACTGGGCATTCCAAGACAGGAATATGTGACTGTCATCATACGCCTAATGTCAGTTTCCTAGGAAACAGTTTTTTTCCCCAAATTTCGTGATGTTTCCTGAGATGCTCCCAAAATCCCCCATACCATGGCACCCTTTTTGGAACTTAAAACTGCCTTTCAACATGCTATCTGCTGAGTGATTCCTTTAGTGAAGGTGACCGAAGAGTTGTTTGAGTTC